CCTCTTTTCGCTGAGGAAGACTGGCCCTGGGCTAACATCCGTGCCCATCTTCCTCCACTTTATATGGGACGCCACCACAGCATGGCTTGACAAGCAGTGCGTCAGTGTCCACCTGAGATCTGAACCCTGGGCTGCCGCAGCAGAGCGCACACACTTAACCGCTATGCCACCCGGCCGGCCCCCATTTATTTATTTTTTAGTTTTATTTTTTTGCTGGGAAAGATTTGCCCTGAGCTAGCATCTGTTGCCAGTCTTCCTCTTTTTTTTTTTCCCTCCCCAAAGCCCCAGTACATAGTTGTATTTTCTACTAGTTCTTCTAGTCCTTCTAGTTCTTCTGTGTGAGCTGCTACCACACCACAACTACTGACAGACGAGCAGTGTGCTTCCTTGCCCAGGAACCAAACCCAGGCTGCTGAAGCAGAGCGCCCCAGACTTTAACCACTAGGCCATCATGGCTGGCTCCATAGTATTCCATTTAATGGATTACCATAATTTATTTAACCAGTCCCTATTCCAGTTCTTTGCTGTTACATAAAGTGCTGCAGTGAATAAATTGTACCTATGTCATTTTGTACTTGTACAGAATATCTGTAGGATAAGTTCCTTGAAGTGGAATTGCTGAGTCAGTGCATTTGCATTTGTAATTTTGGTAGATATAGATCAATGGAGTACAATCATAATTACCTTGGGAACTTTTTCAGTTTCTTATGTCTGTCCCCCCCAAAGCCTGGGAGGTTTTTTAGTTTTTGTTTTTCTATGGATCTGCGATGGGGCTTGGGTATCTTTATTTTTTAAAGTTCCTAGGGCGATTCTTATATTTACCCCAAAAGAAGAGAGGGGCTGGACCTTTGTAAAATGGAATGTGGGACAAAAATGCGTATCTAATTTAAAACAAAAGAACATGGGCTAACTGTGGGGCTCAGAAGGCACCGTGTTGCCAGTTTATGTAGAAGCATGCCGTTGGCTGCTTTAATCTGCATGTCCAGGTTCCTGCTATCCCTGGCATCTTCCCCTCCCATGATATTATGAGATATCTAAGCATTGCAAAATAAATATGTTAGTCTTGCAGGTACTGCTTAAGGGATGCAATAGAAGCCATGATTATCACAGTTGGATTGGGAAATGTTTGGTATGTCACCTAGGGAATGAGTATGTGAAAATACAGGATCTTGTACAGCCTGTGGAAATTGAGAAGACTGCATAGCACTTAACCTGTTCCCTGGGTTAGGCTGAACCAAATGGAGAATATAACTGCTTAGAAATAACTTAAAACACACCAAAACATTGAAGACTTATTCTGTTCTAGGTTCTGGGCTAGGTGGTGAAGACAGTAATAGGGAAATAACAATCACAGTTGTAAAATGACTTCTAACACTTACTGGGCACTAAGTATGTGCTGGGCATTATGCTGAGAGTTTTACAAGTATTTTCGCATTGAATCCTAACCCTAGGAACCATGGGGACACTTACATTCCCATTTTACAGTTGAGAAAAGTGAGTTTGAGATGTTAAGTAAGTAACTTGCTGAAGGTCACACATTTATCTACTTCATAAAATTGTTTGGAGGTTAACAAAGTACTTAGAACAGTCCCTGGTACGTGATAAATGTTCAGTGCATACTAGCTGTGATTATTATTACTGAAGCACAGAGGAAATACCAGTTATACCTTGGTAGGGCATACCTCACAGAAGAAAAATATAAATAGGGTTTTTCCTGGAAAAGAAAGGTATTCCAGGTAGAAGAAACAATAGTGAAGGGATTGGTGGCTTGGTTTAACTGCTGCATAGGGTGCTTGGCGGTAAAATTGTAGAAGAGGCTGAGAGATGAAAGAAGACTTCATGGGGGTGAGGGGGAGCTATTGAGCTATCTTGAAAGGATGGGCATAACTCGTTTTTAGTAGGCAGAGGGAGTCGGGAACATTTCAAAGATACAGCATTTAAAAAGGCATAGAAGCGGTGTTGCAGTTATCTACTGCTGTGTAGTAAACTAAAACTCAGTGGCTTAAAACAATTACTATTTTATTTGCTCATAGTTCTTCGAGTCAGACATTTGGGCTGGGCTTAGCTGGATAGTTCTGGTCTCACCTGGGGTCATTCATGTGGCTGCAGTCATCTGGTGGCGCCACTGGGGCTAAGTAGTCTAAGATGACTTCTCTCATATGCCTGGCTTTGATGATGGCTATTGGCTGGGCTTCTTCACACGGCAGCAGAAGAGTTCCAGGAGAACCATAGAAGCTGCCAAGGGCTCTTAAGGCCTAGGCATGGAAGTCACACAGTGTTGCTTCCACCCACATTCTGTTGGCCAGAACAAGTCACACACCAGCATAGATGCAATGGGAGGAGAAATAGACTCCATCTCTTGATGGAAGGACCTGCAAGGAATTTGTGGCTTTTTTTTTTTTTTTTTTCCAATCTACAGCAAATGGAAAAAGGCAGGATGAGTTTTGGATGTGTTACTTAGCCCTTTTGGCCTTTTCTTTAGCCTAAGTAGCATTTCCTCCAAAGTTAATTATACAAAGTCCTTTAATCACCTTTATTACCCAGCCCTGACCTCTTTCTCTGTTTCTCCTAGAATGAAGATGAAATATAAATTAAAACGAAAAACAGAGACGCTTTCCCAAGAACTAATTGAATTTTGAAAACTCTGAATTATAAAACAATTTTTTAAAAGAAAATGTAGTTTACTTACTTTTGAATATTCTCATGAACTTGAATAAAAGTCGTATAGAGAACTCCTCCAAGTCCTAACTTTAATAATAGACCAGGATTATATGTTATTACCACATCATTTGTTAGCATTTAATTAAATATCTTGGTGTTAAAATTTTTTAAGCATTTTAATGTGCAACCATTTAAAATCTTGACCATAGTATTAATTTCCTAGGTAAATTCTTTTATTCATATTCTGTACAGGTAGACATCTACAGCCACCTACCTTTTAGAGTGATCTGAAATCCTGAGGTGTAGGAGATTCTGAATTAATGACATTTTTGTCTCTTTATTGAACTAACTTTTACCAGTATTCAGCAGAAACAAACATGATTTCCTCTGAGTTATATTTGTTTATAATCCTCTGTGGTTTTCTTTTTAATTCTGCTTTCCATTCTAAAAGAGTTCTTAGCTTTTGTTCATTAATCATGAGAAACAGTTGTGCAACATGCCTTGACATTAACTTGAACATCTAAAATTAGTCCTGCTACAATCAGTGGTTGGGAACAAGGTTTCAGTAGTTTGTGGCATGTATTAAGTAGACATTGCAAGGTTGGAAGGAACTCCCTAGAAATAAGTAAGTGACTTGTGTCATGTGTGTGTGCATGTACCTATGTATATATACAGTTGAAAGTCTCTTTTTATTAAGCAGATGAACAAATTACATCTGTTACTACAAATGCATCATAAGCATCTTTGTTTATGCACTATGCTGTTTAATCGTTTCAGAAGAAAAATGTTTATTGAAAACCTTAGAATGGATTTTTCTGCATGTTTCTTTTGTGGTTTTTGTTTTTTAAAGGAATAATTGTATTATATATACTATATTTCAAGTAAATGATTTTTTTTTTCTCTTCAGAGTTTATAGAAACCTTTGACAAAAATGACATCCTGGTTGTATGAATGTCTTTGTGAAGCTGAACTTGCACAGTATTATCCTCATTTTACTGCCATTGGCCTCCAGAAAATAGATGAATTAGCCACGGTTACAATGAAGGACTACTCCAAATTGGGAGTCCACGACATGAACGACCGCAAACGTCTCTTCCGACTTATCAGAATCATTCAGATGATGCAGGAAGAAGACAAAGCAGTCAGTAGCCCAGAACATCCTCTCCAGACAAGCAGCCTGTATAGCAAGCCTCGGGAATCCAGACCTGGCCCTCGGAGGCAACTGCATTTTGATTGTCCTGCTGACAACAAAGACAGAACAACCAGCAACTATGGGTTTGAAATGTGCAATTTATCAGATTTTTCTGCAAATGAACAGAAGTCTAGTTACCTAAAAGTGCTGGAACACATGCTACCAGAGGATTTCCAGTACCAAACAGAAACAAGAATTCTGAATGCCACAGCTGCTGATTCCTATGTGCAAACAGAAACTAACACTTCACTCTCTTCATTAAATCACTTTTCTCCAAGACTGGGGGATTGTGATAGTCCCATTATTCAAAGAGTTTCTCATGTTTCAGGGTATAACTATGGAATCCCTCATTCTTGTATCAGGTAATAATTTCTTTTTATCTTTTTTTTTTTGGAGAGATGGTAGCCTCAGGCAAGGGCAGGCCTCTCCACAACCAGAGGAGGGCAACTACTCTTTATTTACAGAAAATGATAGTGAACATCTTCTGCATTGATAATAGAAATACCTTGATAGGGGAAAATTAATCAGGAGTTGGGACTTTCCAGATGGGGGAAAGATGATATTGTTCGTGTACATCTAGGAACTGCCACTTGCCATGATCTGCTATTATTCCTGTAGCAGACCTATTCTATTATTTATGATAGTGTAACATGATACATCTAGTGCATCCATGAAGGTAAAATAGTTAACTAGCCTTCTGCAGTGGGAAAAGAATTACACAATCCACAGGATTTTTTTTAAGGCTATCAAATTCACTTCAACCAACCAGGAAATGTAAAGCTTAGTTAAAAACAAAGAGCATGTTGTTGAATTAAGTAGGTCTTTGGAGCAGTTAATTTATCTGCACACATTGAAATATGGTCCTGATTTTGAGTGCTTTCTACAATTCCACCTGTGGAAGAACAGATGATTTTGGTGATTGCAAAGAGTAAGACACTTTTGATGGAGTTTATAGAGTTTGAGAGTCAGGGTGACGATAAGTGATTTTCACCTAGTGCTTCAGGTTAGAATTTGAAATATCAAGTAATCCGTAATACTAACATTGGTATAATAGAAAATAGTTTTAAAAATAACTATTGCTGGGGCTGGCCCAGTGGCATAGTGGTTAAGTTCGGCACACTGTGCTTTGGCAGCCTGGGTTCACAGGTTTGGATCCTGGGCACAGACCTATGCACTGCTCATCAAGCCGTGCTGTGGCGGTGACCCACATACAAAATAGAGGAAGATTGGCAAAGATGTTGGCTCAGGGACATTCTTTCTCAAGTGAAAAGAGGAAGATTGGCAACAAGTGTTAGCTCAGGGCCAATCTTCCTCACCAAAACAATAAAATAACTGTTGCTTGTTTTGTTATTTTAGAAGTTATAGACAGTAAGTTATGGAGAAACAAAATACATTCTTAAGCCACATTTCTTTTTTTAAAAAGGCTATTATACATACCTTAAAACAAGGTATTTACATCTAGTCCTATATTGGCTAAGGTTTCAGAGGATCTCATAACCAACCACTTCTTTTATTCCAAAAAAAACAGAAGACTCAATTTTAAAAGTAAAAGTATCTTTAGTAGTTTGAAATACATAAGTGAATTTTATAGTGTTTCTGTAAACTGTTTTTTTTGGTTTGGTTTAGCAGAGCACAGAGCCTTTAGTACTGTTTTCTTCTTTTAATTGTGAGAGGCTAGATTGTTCCATGACCATCAAAGCCAGGATTGTTGCTATCCTATTGGTTAGTCAGTGGTGAAAGAACAAATATCTTCTTTAATATTACAGTTTTTTATTGAAAAACACATAAAAATCTAAATTGGAATTATTTATAAATAGAATAAAGATACCACTTTGCATTATTTATGTGGATAGAATGGGTATTTTAGTTTAAATATTGCTATTTCATTTAATGGCAGATGTTAAGTACCACTTCTGCTAGACTCGATTCTGGAGACTCTTAGGGGGCAATGTGAGTGGACAGACAGACAACCAACCATATGGTGAGATAAGTGCTCTTACAGAGGTTTATAAGTGACAAACGCAGAGCAAAAGCTGTTCAATTGAGCTTTTTCACCTTTTATATCATTATTATTTCACTCTTCCCATTCTTTATTATATTAGAGAAATGTAAGTAAGAAAGCACATTTTCCACAATAATCCTCACTATTGTCTTCTCACCCAAACCCTAAGTAGAAATCAGGGTTTCAGAAACCTGAGAAACTCCCTCATCAACTTAAGGTTTGCTGTTAGGGAGTCATCCTATTCAAAAAGCATTCTCTTTGGATGCTTCAAATCAGGTAAGTTCAAAATAAATTGCTGGCGTCAGAATTTTAATAAAGTCTGAAGCATTTAGAGAACTGGTTGCCCTGACTTATTTAACATCTTGAATAGATCTAACTCCAGCTGTCTTAACTCTTTGCATGTCAGACAGATATAGTCTATTTCTTCTAGAGAAGATTAGGCATTAAAACTAAAGCCTGTGGGCCGGCCCCGTGGCTTAGCGGTTAAGTGCATGCGCTCCGCTGCCGGCGGCCCGGGTTCGGATCCCGGGTGAGCACCGAGGCACCACTCCTCCAGCCATGCTGAGGCCGCGTCCCACATACAGCAACTAGAAGGATGTGCAGTTATGACAGACAACTATGTACTGGGGCTTTGGGGGAAAAATAAATAAATAAAATCTTTAAAACTAAAGCCTGTTAGGAGAAGGACATTCATTCCTTTTTGCCCCTTGAACTTGAAACCTGCAGTCCTTTGTCCATATGACCCATCCTAGAGTCCCTGTCAATTTTGAAAAGGACATTTTCTGTCCTCTTTGATTAGCTTCATAAGATTAAGTTATTAATACTCATCAACAACTAGAGATTTTGACACAAGGCTGTTGTTAAAATGATGCATTAAAAATTTGTTCTTGTAAAAAATTGAACATAGGCAAAAAAAGAGAGAATGGAACAATGAACCCCCATATGCCCATCATCCACTTTTAATGATTGTCAAGATTTTGCCACACTTAACCTCAAAATGGTACATTTTTAAAAGTTTTCTGTATGTTAAGAAAACAAAACATGCTTCCAAAGCCTTGAGTAGTCCTTTACACATTATATTAGAAATTTTATTTGCTACTTTTTACTAATTTAGATCCTGGCAAAAAATAATTTTCCAGTCAGTTGGAGGGCTCAGAAAATTGAAATTGATATGAAACAATTATATAGTGAAATATCCTGTGTAAAATCTATCATTAAAGCCTTTATAGGGGCTATTAAGCAAATTCTAAAGTGTAAAGGAAGGGAATAATTTGTCTTGCTAAGACATTCTTAGCATATGGACCAAAGGCATTGATCCTGGTAAAACACCTACTTTGAAGAATCCTGTTTTCTTTTTACCTAGCTTAAGAGGAATTTCTATATAGGTAAATGGCCAGTTCTTAGATATACACATATATGCCACCATTAGGCTCAGCAAATAAACCTGATGAATTTTGTATCCCTAACCCAAGGAATATTGCCTCAGATGTTCTGTATGTTAAGGCTGATGAGTTCACTAAGTCAGAGACAGAGAAGAAATGCATCTGAATAGAAGAGTGAATTAGTGATGGACAGCACCAGTCATAAAATTTTCCTGGGAAGAAGGAATATATGATTGTGTTCTAACAAACAAATACATATCAGGGTGGGTAAAAAGAGGAAGTAAGAGAAGAAGACAAATGGAGGGACAGAATATACCTGAGAGGAACATGGGAAAAGTACATTGAAACCTACCACCTGATTCAAGGTATTTAGTAAACCCAGGTAGGATTAAAAAAAGAAATTAGATTGAATGGTCAAGAAAACAATAAATGTACAAGAATAATTAGATTGAAAGGAAGCAAGAGATGTGGGTTTGGGTCCTATAAAGGCCTTGGACGCAGCATATTATGTTAGATTTTGAGGATTAACCAGCATGAGGTTGGGGAACTTAAAGAAAGAGCATCTGTCATCCATCATTAGAAGGCTTTTGGAAGACCAAATCTGGAAGCCAAACACACAAGTCTTGGAGCTAAAGCAACTCTGAGGAGTTCGGGGTTTATTTTTATTTGTTGGCAGAACAAAGGGTGGGGTGGTGTAGGGAGGGAGATAGAAGTAACTGGGAGGATTTAGCTAATAAAAGAACTTTCTCAATGTCAACAACTTTAATATGTAACTTTATATTTCACCTAATATATAACAAAGTGCACTGATACTTTGACCTTTTAAGTAGCCTTATCCTATTATTAAAAATTAAAGCCCACTTATAAACATATATCAGACAGAACACCTCAGAGAAAGAAAATCCTTGGACTGAGATGGAGAAAATCAGAGTTTGTGTTCGAAAACGCCCTCTAGGTGTGAGGGAGGTACGTCGTGGAGAAATTAATATTATTACTGTAGAAGACAAAGAAACTCTACTTGTTCATGAGAAGAAAGAAGCAGTTGACCTCACACAATATATTCTGCAGGTATGATGCTTTCCTTTTGTATTTGGAACTAATATTATCAAGTGTGTCAATTTTTTGCTTTTTGTTTGAGTGGCAGCATACAAATTCTAAAATCTAGTTTCTGATTTGAGTGTAGGCATTCATTCCTAATATGACATTGCATTAAATCGTTGATACCCTGGGCCTTCATTTTTTAAAAAATATGATGCAACGGGGGATACAAAAACATAATTTCTCCACTCTAGTGCAGTAGAGTTGCATCATATATTCACTTAAGACGCTTTACGTGAATTTAATTATACATATTCAGCAAAAAAAAGGGGGAATGAGAGGATAAAAAGAATTTAAGTAGTGAATTGGTGGTAGACAGGACCAATCACTGAGTGTATGCCCCAGAGTGACTGAGATGGTCACAGTCGATCTCAATTCTTGCCTGTCTCTTACAGTATGAACTTTTCACTCTGCTGAGTGTGAGTCCGTAGTTTAATGATGAAGGATATATTTTTGAGCAACAAGGCCCCAGATTACCGGCCAACTACCTATTTTGATTCTCAACTGTCTTTGGGCTTAGACTTAATTTGGAAATTGGGTTCTTGAGCAGGCCACTTTGTCCAGGGTAGATTGCAGTGGGTAAATATAATACAGGGATATGGTTTCACATTGTTCACTCCCTGCCAGAATGATCACAGAGTCCAAGGAGAAAGGGTTTGGTATTGAAAGGAACTTATTCCAAGCTGACAGATACCCTTGCAATAACTCTTCAGTCTCACATGGAAGCAGCAAATTCCATAGAAGGAAGATACTGTAATTTAGGTACTCCTAAAATTGTGAAGCAATTGTGTATAATCTAAAATGGGATAATCCACCAGATGTTAAGATTTGAGAATTCAGAGTTTCTCTTACTCTGAATCTGCCTCCCTAAATGTTTGTATTACATTCATTCTGTTCTCTCTCTCTCGACTCAAAACCCAGTGACTGGTAGAGAGAAAAAAAAATGGTGAGTTAATCTGGTGTTCTAGAAATTCCTCTTAGTCGGATGAGATCTCACTCTACTGGAATAAATCCCTTAATACTGAAGTCAAATTGTTAACACTTTCCCCCTTTTTTACACTTGCATTGTTCTTTTTCTTTGGTTACCAAAATTGGGTTTCACAGTGACATTTGACGTAATCCACTGTGTCTTTCTTTGGGCACTAAATTACTAGGCCACTGTATAACCAACCCAATCACTTTAACAGCCTTATCGATTGCTGATCAATGCACAGTCTATTAGGTCTAGGTGGGAGGTATTTATTTTGAAGATGGTCCAAATGACCAATTAGGTGTAATGCTATCCAGTTCTCTGACTACTTATAGCCATAGTAATAGCCCCATCCAATCACCATCTACCCAAGACTGTGTTAATGATGCTTCTGTCACAGTAATTCCCTCAAGGAGGCATCATCTTATCTTTTGTCTTTTTCCATTATCCCAAAACACAATAACTACTTCTTTGTCATTACCATTGGTCAATACTTATTGAATACCCATAGTTTCCAGAGCACTTTCTCTGCTGTTTGAACTTTGGACCTTTGCTCTCATAGGTCAAAGTCCTTACCTATCAATGCTATACTATAAAAGCGTTGGGAGGGCTTTTTCCTTCCCTTTTTCCTTTCCTAAGTAGGAAGAAGAAAAGAGAGGTTCATAGTAAACTTAGAAAATAAATATTGATCCTAGATTCTTTGGGGTTTTTTTTGTGTGTGTGAGGAAGATCAGCCCTGAGCTAACATCCATGCTAATCCTCCTCTTTTTGCTGAGGAAGACCGGCTCTGAGCTAACATCTATTGCCAATCCTCCTCCTTTTTTTTTTCCCCCCAAAGCCCCAGTAGATAGTTGTATGTCATAGTTGCACATCCTTCTAGTTGCTGTATGTGGGACACGGCCTCAGCATGACTGGAGAAGCGGTGTGTCAGTGCGCGCCTAGGATCCGAACCTGGGCCACCAGTAGCGGAGCGTGCGCACTTAACCGCTAAGCCACGGGGCTGGCCCCAGGTTTTATTTTTAAACTTATTCAGGAATTCAAACAGTAGGTTTATGTATCCATTTAATTATCTTCTTTTGTTACTTAGTATATATGATCACATACATAGTAGTGTGCTATCCTGCTTACCATTAAATTTTATAATATCAATATAATAAGTGGAAAAACAGGGAAGGAAATCTGTATATGTTTCATTACAATTTCTTAAATAAAAAAATACACATAGAAAAAAAGATGGTAATGAAATATATCAAAAAGTCAACAGTGACTATCTCTGAGTAGTAAGATTTACAGATAATTTGATTTTCTTCTCTTTTGTTCTCCAAATATTCTACAATCAGCTGTGTTACTTTTATATAAAAAGTAAAATTTTTGAATAGGATAGATTTACCTATTTCATAATCAAAAGATACAAAAGGATGTACAATGAAAAGTATCCCTGATTCTGTTTCCTCCTTGAAGGCACCCACTGTTAACTGTTCTAAGTGTATCTTTCCAGAGATATTCTATAAATACATATTACTTTTATAATCTGAAAAAAACTTATTTAAAAAATAAACCATGGAACACTGATCATATCAAGGCTAAAGTGAGTGTTAATCCAACCTCATTGATAGAGTGTGATGAAATGAAAGGATATGTGATGCAAAGGACTTTATGAGTTGTAATAATAATCTTGCATGTTCACATGTCTTTCATGAAAGATACTTACAAAACTACTGGAAAAATCAATACCTAAATCCTATTGAAGAAAAAATACTAATTCCTTTAATCAATAAGTGCTTTTTAAGGTGTTTAACACAGGAGCTAACGTTATTCAGGAGCTCTTATAGAAGGAGAGGAAGAATAGCCGTATACTCAATGAAATAAAAGAAAAACAAAAAAATGTATTCTTATATTTACTTCTGTTATTTTTTCTTATTTTCCTGAAAAATGCCAAATACATGTATTTTTTTACTTTTGAGTTCTTACTTAACTGTAAAAACCTATGGTAATATTTGAGCAGTGAATGGATTTGTCTCCTTGCTTAAAGACCAGTTATAACTTAGATATAAATCGTGTTCATTAAAACCAGATTTTAGAAATATATTTTACTCTTCATTATTTCCGTTTTCAAGCTTAATCAAAAGTTTAATGAACCCCCAGTATACCTATCACCCAGCTTCAACAGTTATAAACATTTTACGGTTCTTAAAATCATATCACATTTTTCAAAGCACTAGAAGTTCACAGATTTCTTTATCATGCTGCACAGATTCATTATTTTCTCACCTAACTTCTAGAGATTTTTTTTAAACTGATAAATTTGACTTTGTGGCCGTAGTTTCTTCTCAGATGACCTAACAAATTTCCATTCTAATGTAATAGTACATGAAACTGAATTGAACCTGGGGTAGAGTGACCTACAATAAATTGACCCAAGTCTACTTTTCTGGATTTGCCCATACACTTTTTCCTTAGCTGGGTATTTAGAGCAGGCCCAAAAGTTAGCAGAGGATAGAACCTCATCTCGCATTCATTGTGTTTGGACTCAGTGACTCTCAGCCATTATGATGCTACAATCAGGCTTAAAATTACTAGGATTTCTACTCAGATACAACATGAACATGAAAGCCTCTAAATTATGCAAATAATATGGCTGCTGAACTAATGCTTTCTAGACCCAATTTAATGGGGTCTCCTATATCTCCTCTTCCAGATTACCATGGTTTTTCACTTGGGGGTCGTCTTACTCCCTTCGTTCCCCAGCTCCCCCGCATCCAATCATTTGCCAAATTTCTCATGTGTCCATCTCCTCTTTATTTCCATTGTCATCATCTAATTTAGACCTTTCTTACCTCACCACTGAATTACTAGTGTCCCTGTTCCCAATCCATTCACAGTGTGAAGCCAGATTAATCTTCCAATAAAACGGCTCAGATCATCCCTCTCTTTTGCAAAGTTTTTTATTGTCTTCCCACTGTTTACTGAATTGAATGTAAGCATTCCAACCCTGCCTTAAGGCTGGTGTTCCACGACCCCTACAACATAGTCCTAACTCATTATTCTAGCCCGCTGTTTTACTTTTCTACCTACCAAGATCCTGTATTTCAACCACATTGAATTCTCCCTGTTCCCTAAACATTCCTTGTGCTTTCCTGCTTTGACTCTTTGCTCGTGTTTCTCCCTTGACTGGAATACCTTCCCTGCCTCCATCTCTACCTCTCAAATTCCCCTTCTTTCCTCCATGGTCCATTCTCAGTACAGTCTTTTTCATAATGTCTTTCTGAGTCAGAGGGAGTATTTTTTTCCTTTGAATTCCACATGTACTTTCTCTCTCAAGTTTTTTCTACCTTATAGTCATTTGTATACTTGTCTAGATTAACATCTTTAGGTGGTGGGATGGGGTAATGGTAGGGTAATGTCTGTATTTGTGGGCCTCTTGAAGTGCCTACTGCAATATACATGCTAGCAGCTGAGCAGTAAATGTTTACAGAATTAAAAGTTAAGCTATGTAACCTATAGAATAGAGGTCTTCCTCTAGAATTCCCCCAAAATTTCAAATATGCTGGCCCTAGCTGGGCTATGAGGATAATCTCCATCGAATTCAGTTCCTTTCCTGGACCTAAGGAGGATTGCCTCATTCTTGTACTCATCAATTTACTTCACTTAAGAGAGAACAAAAATTGTGTGCCTTAGTTTTTACATTATAAGAACGTCTGCAGAGATCTCAAGTAAAAGAAGGCCCTGTCATTTGACAATTATTGATTGCTTGTTTATCTGTAAGTTTGTGATGGTCAGTTACTATTAGTTAAAAATGTACTTGTGCCTTTATCAAATGTGTTAACTAGAATAGTGGTGAAGAAAATCCAGAAAATATCTCTTTCTATAACAATCAAATTTCTTTTTCAGCATGTTTTTTATTTTGATGAAGTCTTTGGTGAAGCGTGCACCAATCGAGATGTTTACATGAAGACTACTCACCCACTCATTCAGCATATTTTCAATGGGTACGATAGTAATTATTTGCTTCTCTCGTTTTTTATTTTCTATTTTCCATAAATCATATTTCTTTATAAATATCACTTATGCTTTTCAATTCTTTTGAATTAAACAGGAATTTATGTTTTGATCTAATGAATTTAAATTAGACTCTTCCGAAAAATTCAGTGTCTCTATTTATAGGATTTACCAAGCATTTGGAAATCTTCAGCAAAATTTCCTTTACACTGGTGATATTGTTTCTCTGTGCTTAGTGGAAAAATATAAGCTGTCAACAATATAATTTCATCAAAGTCCTCAGAATAAAAAAGTTTAAGTGGTTGTAGTTAGTTTGAAATTTTTTTTTTTTTAATTTTTTGTTTATTGCAGTAACATTGGTTTATAACAAGTTTGAACTTTTAATGATAGGAATTATGTATCCTGGCTATAGTTCTGTTAATTTTTTCACTGGGTGCTCCATTGGATAAGTGACTATCACTTATCCACTTGTTTTAGATGTATTTTTTAAATTTTAAAATAATTATTCACACTTAATAAACATTAAATGGGACAGAAAAGGTACTAAGGCTTCTGTTATATATTTAAAATGTTGGTGTGTATGGGTAGAAAATGCTAAAGAGCCTGCTAGAGTTGCTGATTCCAGAGTATTTTGACTATTTTTTAAAAATAACTTTTATAATTTTTTTAAAAATTGAAGTGTAAGTTACGTGTAATAAGATGCACAGATCTTAAGAAGTATTCAGGTTTGGGGGCTGGCCCCATGGCCTAGTGGTTAAGTTCAGCGTGCTCTGCTTTGGCAGCCTGGGTTCAGTTCCCAGGCATGGACCTACACCACTTGTCTGCGGCTGTGCCATGGTGGCGACCTACATACAAAATAGAGGAAGATGGGCACAGATGTTAGTTCAGGGTGAATCTTCCTCTGCAAAGAAAAACAGAAGTATTCAAGTTTGATGAGTTATGATAGTTATATATATCCAGGTAACCAATACCTGGAACAAGATAAAAGAACATTTCCATCACCCCAGAAAGTTCTCGTGTCCTTTTTTAGTTAATCCCCCACCAGCACCCCCAGGTCTTATAAAACCACTTACTTGCTTTCTGTCACTGTAAATTAGTTTTGCCTGTTCTAGAATGTCATAGAAATAGAATCATTACAATATATATCCTTTCATGCCTGGCTTCTTTTGCTTAGCATAAAGTTTTTTGATATTAGTACGTGTTGTTTCATGTATCCATGGTTTTTACTGCTTAGTAATATTCCCTTCTATGAATTGACCACAATTTGTTTATCCATTCTCCTGTTGATGGGCATTTAGATTGATTCCAAATTTTTTACTGTTATGAATAAAGCTGTACGAACATTCTTATACAAGTTTTTTTGTGGACATGTTTATATTTATCTTGGATAAACTAGAAATAGAATTGCTGGGTCATAGGATAGATGTATGTTTATAAGAAAGTGTTAAACAGTTTTCCATGTGCTATTTTATACTCCCAACAGCACTGTATGAGAATTGCAGTTCTGCATCCTCACCATATTTGGTATTGTCAGTCTTTTTTATTTTACCCAATCTAATGGGTATGGAACTATATCTCTTTGTGTTTTTAATTTGCGTTTCCTTAATGCCTAATGATACTTTGCATCTTTTCATGTGCTTGTTGGCCGTTCAGATATCTTCATTTGCCCATTTTTTGTGTTGTCTTTTTATTGTTGCTTTGTAGAAGTTATTTAATTTTTTTATTATTTTTATGAGCAGGTTAAAAAAATGAAATATCTTTCAGGTTCAGTTTCTTATGCATCAAATCTAGGGTATGCTTTTTGAGAGAGCAAGTTTCTAAAATAAGTTAGAATTGGAATGTTGAGACATTACCAATAAAAAATAAGAGAGTTGCAAATTAAGTGCAGCTTAACTGTAAGTTCTGTACAGTGTAATAAGAGATTCTTTATGCCCGTATTGTTTTTTTTGAAAAAAACTAATTACTAAAATGTTCAGAAGATAAGGTAGATATTATTCTTTACTCTCATTCTGCTAGATCTTCTTTGGTGTGTTCAGATTTTCCTCCTGTAATCTTTTCCCTGACTGTGCCACTGCCAGTGTATTCAAGTGCCCACACTGCTGGGAGCCATGGTTAAAAGACAAGGAGTAGGGGCCGGCCCTGTGGGTTGGCGGTTGGGTGCACGCGCTCCGCTACTGGCGGCCCGGGTTCGGATCCCAGGTGCGGATGTTAGCTCAGCAACAATCTTCCTCAAGCAAAAGGAGGAGGATTGGCAATAGATGTTAGCTCAGAGCCAGTCTTCCTTAGCAAAAAGAGGAGGATTAGCATGGATGTTAGCTCAGGGCTGATCTTCCTCACAAAAAAAAAAAAAAGAAAAAAAAAAAAGATAAGGAGTAACTAGTTGGTCTCTGCTCTAAGCAGCTTAAATCTGATTAGCTCCCATCTCTTGATTCTCACACTTCCACAGTTCCTTTGCTCTTATCATATCACTCTTTGGTTTCTATCTGGCTTCAGGTTCCTTTCTGTGTTTTTGTCTCTCTGCCCACCATCAGCCTCCCCGTACCCCTGTGTCCCTACATAGACGTTTTTTCTTGCTGCAAGCAGCTACTTTTATTATTAATCCATGTGATTCCTCTTCAAGAGTCTGCAATAGCTACTTACTACCTAACATTATGTTCACTCTCTATTTAGTACTACATAGTTGGGCCCCACAATACTCCCATAATCTTGGCTGGCCTCCACCTCTCCTCTCCATCTTTTATTCTGCAGTTCTTCATACTGATACAGAGTGTGTGCACACACACATACCCACATGCAAGAATAGTGATTCTCACTTAGAATCATAGGACATCAGGGCTAGAAAGGATCTTAGAAATCAAGTAACACAGTAGTTTATTGGTGAAAGTGAGAACTGAGGCCCTGAGAGAAGCTCTGTTGTGAGTCCTTCCTCAAATATTTTTCTTACATTGATTGTCACTTCTGTCTAAACTGCCTTAATATTCAAATGAGTGGTCACTACCCTCCTGTTTATCGTATGATCTTCTGTTATTTATTGTATTTAATTCTCTATTACTTCTTTCACCAAACTTATCTTTTACAATTAACACAGAATCTTCTCTGGGATCCTCTAAAGCACCTAGCATGGAGTCCTTGTTTCCTTATCTTCCAGAGTTGTCTTATGGTTTTACCAGTTCCATAAAAAATTCCTTGAAGAAAACTCATGTACTGCTTTGAGAATGTTTTTCGTCGTCTTATGTTTTTATCATGTAAAGCCCTCCTCTCCTAAAATGATTGTATTTTTTTTGTTTGTTTTTTGTGAGGAAGTTCAGCCCTGGGCTAACATCTGATGCCAATCCTCTGCATTTTGCCAACGAAGATTGGCAGTGGGCTAACATCTGTGCCCATCTTCCTCTAAACTTTATATGGGATGCTGCCACAGCATGGCTTGACAAGTGGTGCGTTGGTGCGCACCCCGGATCTGAACCTGCAAACCCCGGGCTGCCGAAGCGGAGCACACGCGCTTAACTGCTACGCCACTGAGTCGGCCCCTTAAAGGATTGTATGTTTATAGCTGCATTTTGTCAAGGATTCTTTTCCTACCCGAATTTTGTCATTAAAAATCCGTGTGTAAATTAGCATTTCTCTTACTATGTATGAGTGATACAAATGATTCTTCCCCCAGAGGCAATGCCACTTGCTTTGCATATGGACAGACAGGTGCTGGAAAGACCTACACCATGATAGGAACTCATCAGAACCCAGGACTGTATGCTCTGGCTGCCAAAGATATCTTCAGGCAACTAGAAGTATCCCAGCCAAGAAGGCATCTCTTTGTGTGGATCAGCTTCTATGAAATTTACTGTGGACAGCTTTATGACCTCCTAAACGGGAGAAAAAGGTACTGGATATGAGTGGAAACTGTTAATCTGTTCATCATTGTTTTACGCTGGAGTCCCACTGAATCATGGGATTTAATGAGACGCGTTGGTACATTAATGCCCTTTTGTGAAATGATAGTCTCCTAAATCAGATGTGTATTTTTTAAACTGTCAATTCAGCTAGAGAAAAATGTAAATTAGCCTTCTATTAGTATTTTTTTAAGTGATCAATATCCTAATGTTTATCAAAAGACTGTCTCTTTTATTTTGGTCTATGAAAAATGTCATAATTTCAGGAAGTCAGAAAACCAACATGTACTTAAATCCCTTTTGACCTGTTATTACACTGAAAGAAGGATAAATAATGTTTCCCACTTTCTCTTGTTTTTCCTGTCAGTAATCTTAGGGTACATTTAACGATAGTTTCCTGAAATCAGTAAAAAGAAAAGAATATCTCTTCACATTAGACTTTTAACCCTTAGAAGGCTTAAACTATTGCCCTTGTAAGATAATACAGTATTTTAGAAATGTATTCAGTAACTCTGATTTTAAATCCCTATTGCATTTTTCTGGCATAAAGTTTTGTTTAGGTTGATACAGATGACATTAATTGAGTAAGAGGCAATGAAGTTGTGAAGCTATCAACTGACTGGGAGAATAGGATGGAGAGAGGGAGTAGGGGAGGTGGAAGGGTAAAAGGTTGTCTTAACAGAATTAACCAGACTTGAGACATGTTGAGAGCAGCTACATTAGATGGAGAGGAGTGAGTTGAGGCTGAGCTTGGTGGAAGGCTAGGGAAACTAAATCAGTGAAAGAGACTATCCCCCAGCAAAGGCATCCCTAAGGATCTGTCCAAAAGGACATGCAAGTTCCACGTGCTCCAGGCAAGCACTAAAATAGGGGTGGGAGTGGAGGAGTAGCCCAGTTCTGTAGGGAGAGTGTGATAGGGCCGGCCCCCATCGTAGAGAGGCACTGGAGTATTGAGTAGCGTAACTGGAGAGGCCACCGTCCTGTGGACTGTTCCAAAAGAAGGGCACCTTCAGAAATGCTACCATTCAGAGAATGTTCAGTCGTGACTCAACTGCCAAATAAAGGAGGGTGCTGCTCTGGAGTTGCCTTGGGGAAGAGTTGCCTTTCTTTTTTGCCCTGTCTATGTTGGTTTTGAAGCCTCAAGTTAGCTCAATCACAGCTTCTCTTCCAAGCCCCAACACCCTTATTAGGAGCCCTTTCCAGTCAGAATGCCCGCTTCCTTTAAAGGACAGTTGGCATGAGAACAAAAGCCACTGTTGTTCCATGTGTGTGTATGGTTTGTGTGTTTGTTTGTGTGAAGGGACAGTCAGGGTATCCAGCTGTTTGTGAGTGCAGTTCTTTAATGAATGACCCAGATATATTGCCCTGTATATTTGCATTCTTTAATTGTAGCCAGGGGGATGGGAACATGCTAACTCCTGGTTTTGAAGCTTCCCTGGGCTCACTAGGGAAGACCCATACTTATTCTGCGTGTGTGTCTTGGGCTGTGGGTTTTTTGGTATTTTAATGTCTCTGACTAATTGGCTAATATCTCTTTGTTTCCTACCTTCTGGGACTTCTGAAGTGTCCTGGTCCACTGATGGCACCCTTTCTTATTTGTTTAGAGTTGTAATGATTTGTCTGTTTTTTTTTTCGCTTGAGGAAGATTAGCCCTGAGTTAACGTCTGTGCCAGTCTTCCTCTATTTTGTATGTGGGTCGCAGCCACAGCCTGGCTGATGAGTGGTATAGGTCTGTGCCTGGGCTCCAAACCCATGAACCCGGGCTGCTGAAGCAGAGCATGCCAAACTTAACCACTAGGCCATGGGGCCTGCCTCTGTTGTTTTTTTTAATAAAATATAATTTTTGTAATAATAATGGGGCTTTGACAAAGGTAGATAGAATTATTTACGTTCAGTCCACCTCTTAAACTAGAAACCAAAGTTTAAGGATCTTCAAATTAACTCTTAAAAGTGGAGAATAAATTGTTTTTGTACCCTTGCTTAGAAAGTGATAGAAATATACTGCTTGCTTATAGGACTGAAAATTCTATGAGTACATTTTGGGCTATCCATTAAGAATCTTTCTGGGGTGAGCTCAGGGCATAAGGCATGGGAAGTATGTGCAGGAGGGACATGAAGGCTCTGAAAACTAGATTCTTCTTTTATTCCAGAAGCCTAACTGTTCCAATAGAGTTGTTTACCGAAAGATCATAGGCATTGGTGAGGCTATTTTCCCCCAATCCTTCTGTAAAAATTTGGAAACTTGGGGTGAAGCATAGACTGAGAAAAAAATTTTTTTTGAGAGAATCAGGTCGTTTTTTGGCTATGAAGTAGAATTCCATTTTAAACCTTAATCAGTGTCTTATTAAGGGAGAAAAATAATTAGAGTCTTTGATAGATTCAGTATATGCCCCTTGATGTATCTGGTTTAATGATGATGGTAGACCATAACCATTCATTATCTTGTGCGCAGGCCTGAGGCATCCAGTTGCAGCACCATCCTTGCTCCCTTAGAAGATAGATCAAGACTCTTTAGGTTGCAAGTAAAATAAAACCCCACTTATACTCACTTAAGCATTTAGGGAGGTCATTATCTCATATAACTAGAAAGCCTAGAGGACAGTCAGACCTTAGGGTCTTTTTACTTCAGCCGCTCAGGATGTTATAAGGGCACACTTTCTATCAAGGACTACCCTTGAACCCTGAGGGTGGGGTCAGGAGGTGTGAGAGTGGGCAGGGAGAATGCACATTAATCTCACCCAAACAGCAAAACTGCTACTTAATGGAGGAGTGGTGGAATGATTTCTGGGGAGGCAAGAACAAAGTTTATTACAGCAGCTCTGCCACACCAACCATGTTCTTGCATCTGCAGGCTCTTCGCAAGAGAAGATAGCAAGCATATGGTACAGATAGTGGGTCTGCAAGAGCTTCAGGTGGATGGTGTGGAGCTTCTCTTAGAGGTAACCCTTCCTTACTACTCCACTCTAAGTACAGGGAAAGAATTCATTTTGCTATCAGGCAAGTATGATGGACTCAGATTTAGGCAAAGGGCAATGACAAGCACACCACTTCACATTTATAAAGTGTGAGTCCTCCTCTGAGAGAATAGCTCCTTTCCCTACAAGGTTATAGTCTCAATAGCGTGGTAGTGGGAGGTAGGGCATGTAGGAGAACCTAATGCGTGAGCGGATAGTCTTGGCCAATTTCGAAGGCTGCTAATGGATATTTCTGTGGTGGTGGGCTCTGGGAAAAGCTGCTGGAGAGAAATATTCTTATTTTAAATAAAAATTTTAATAGGTAATACTTTCACATGGGTTCAAAATTCAGAAGGTACAATGAAAATATCCCTTTCATTCCCTTTTCCTGAGGCAACTAATTTTCAGACAATTTTTTGTGTATCTTTCCAAAGGTATTTTAAAATCTGCTTCTTTTATTAAAAGTTATCTTTTTATTATAACCAAAGTAACACTTGCTCATTATTAAATCTAAACATTACAAAAATATGTAAGAAGATAGAAAAATAAAGCCCCCTCTAACTTATTGTACACTGTTCCCCATTCCCCACTGAGATATCCACTGTTAACAGTTTAGAATATTTATATATAAATATTTTTTCCTGTTCTGGGCATTTATTAACTTCGGTCCAAATATATTTCTGGTGAACTTTCCTTTAATGCAGTAGTTCTCAAACCTGGCTTTACATTAGATCATTAGGGGGCTTTTTTTCCTTACTTAAAAAAAATAGTTTAACCTTTTTTATTGTGAAAAATATCACTATACAGAAAAATGCATAAAACCTAAATATGTACAGTATAAAGAATTAACAAGTGCCCTCATAGTCAACTACCCATGTTAAGAAATAGGACATTGCAGCACCCATCAAGTCCCTTGCACAACCTCCCAATCACACTCCCCTATTATCTTGACTTTTATGCTGATCACTTTCTTGTTCTTTGTTACAGTTTTACCACCTATGTATTCATCCATAAACCATATAGCTTAGTTTTTCTTGTTTTTTGACTTTGTATGAATAGAATCACCCTGTATATATATTCTTTTGTATCTTGCTTCTTTTGCTCAACAGTTCCATCTATATTTTTCCATATGGCTATAGGTTTGTTCATTTTTATTTGCTGTATAATATTCAATCATATGAATATACTACAATTTAACTATTATACTGTTAACGGACAATGGTGTTGTTTCTATTTTGGGGCTATTCTGAACAATGCAGCTGTGAGTGTCGTTATACGTGTATTTCAGGACGCAGTATATGAGTTCTCTAGGGTATATTTGTATATATAGTTGTGAAATGATTGTGTCAGAGGACATGCATATCTTCCACTTACTAGATAATGCCAACTGTTTTCCAAAGTGATGTAGACTCCCACAAGCAGTGTATGAGCAATTCCATTACTCATCCTCACCATCACTTTATTGATTTTTGAATTTTTGCCAGTATGGAGGTGTTTTTTTTTTTTGTGAGGAAGATCAGCCCTGAGCTAACATCCACCCTAATGCTCCTCTTTTTGCTGAGGAAGACCGGCTCTGAGCTAACATCTATTGCCAATCCTCCTTTTTTTCCCCCAAAGCCCCAGTAAATAGTTGTATGTCATAGTTGCACATCCTTCTAGTTGCTGTATGTGGGACGCAGCCTCAGCATGGCTGGAGAAGTGGTGCGTTGGTGCGCGCCCGGGATCTGAACCCTGGGCTGCCAGTAGCGGAGCGCGCGAACTTAACCACTAACCCACGGGGCCGGCCTGGAGGTGTTTAGTTATATCTCGTTGTGGTTTTACTTTGCATTTCGCTGGTTGAGAGTGAAATTGAATAGCTTTTCATAGTTTTATCTTTTGAATTTCCTCTTTCGGGAATGCCAGTTTGGGTCTTTTCCTTATTTTTGGATTTCTGTCTTTCTTACTGATTTATGTATTCTGGATATGAGTCTTTTGTCAGTTATTTGTGTCTTAAGCTGTCGTCTCATTCTGTGGCTTGTCTTTCTAGTTTCATCATAATGTCTTTCAATGCTTGCTTGAGTTTCCCTGAAGCAGATTAAATCAGAATCTCTCGGGTGAGGCCTAGATGCAGGTATTATTATTATTTTAAATTGACATATAGTTCACATACCATAAAATTCACCTCTTTAAAGTGTACACTTCAGTGGTTTTTTAATATAATTTTCTTGTTAAGATATAATCCATATGCCATATTATTCACCTTTTTAAAATGTACAAATCAGTGATTTTTTTTAGTATTTTCAAAAAGTTGTGCAGCCATCACCAATATCTAACTCCAGAACATTTTTGTTACACCAAAATGAAACCCTGTACCATTAGCAGTTACTCCTTATTTCCCCTACTCCCAGTGCCTGGCAACCACTAATTTCTATCTCTATGGATTTACCTTTTCTGGCCATATCGTATAAATGGAATCATACAATAGGAGTCCTTTTGTCTCTGGCTTCTTTCACTTAGCATAATATTTTTAAGGTTCATCCATGTTGTAGCGTGTATCAGTATTTCATTCCTTTCTGTGGCCGAATAATATTCTGTTGTATGGATATACCATATTTTATTTATTCATGCATCAGTTGATGGACATGTAGGTTTTTTCTACTTTTTAGCTATTATGAATAATGCTGCTCTGAACATTCATGTACAAGTTTTTGTGTGGACCTTGTGTTTTCAGTTTTCTTGAGTATATGCCTAAGAGTGGAATTGCTGGGTCATACTTCTTGAGGAACTGCCAAACTGCTTTCCAAAGTGGCTGCACCATTTTATATTCCCACCAGCAATGTATGAAGGTGGGTATTATTTTACTTTTTTTTTTTTTTGTAAGGAAGATCAGCCCTGTGCTAACATCTGCCAATCCTCCTCTTTTTTTGCTGAGGAAGACTGGCCCTGGGCTAACATCTGTGCCCATCTTCCTCCACTTTATATGGGATGCCGCCACAGCATGGCTTGTCAAGCGGTGCATTGGTGTGCGCCTGGGATCCGAACCAGCGAACCCTGGGCTGCTGCAGCGGAGCGCGCGCACTTAACCGCTTGCGCCAGCGGGCTGGCCCCAAGGTGGGTATTATTTTAAAAGCTCCACAGGTGATTCTAACCATTCGGCCATGATAGTCATTCTTCTAGTATATCCAGCAAAGCTAGAGTCAAATAGAGAAGGCTAGAAGGACAGGCTGCATACTTCACAATACCCACTTTTAGAACAGCTTCACAGTATACCCCTCCAGGGACTTGGGTGTGTGAAATGGCAGGGTGGCTCACCATTGATGTGTATCTTTTTCTAACAGTTTCTTTTTCCTGGGACAAATAGGTAAATTTTGTTTAAGGGCTGGGACCTCATGTTTGTGTGATTATCAGATTCCTGAGTCCTGGGATCCAAAACCTGAGGCTAGCACCTGAGTGTGACTATTACAGAGGGTCACCTAAGAGCCAAGAGTCGCTTTCTAGTGATTGCAAAGGCAGGCGTGGAACAAGTGTGGGACATGAAGGGGCTCCTCTGAGACTGTGACCATTCTTAAGCTGTCCTGAGCTCCCTCCACTGTAGAGTCCTAAGGAAATTGTTCCTCACACACCTATTCCCTGTGGTCCTCTTGCCCCCACCTCCCCAGCCATTCCTTCATTTGGCTGGAAGTTTCAGGAGTGTTGGTCCTTGTGATGCCTTTGTCCCTGGAGATTAGACCAAGTGAATGGGAAAGGAGCAAACACTAGGAGGAAGTCCCTTTTCTTCGGTTATGGGCCATAACTGTGCCAAAGGACAATCTAGTGTCAAATTGCACTCTCATCCTAGAGAGTTTATGGCACTGCTCTATGCTAAGTTATGTTTCCTAAGAAAAGCAGAAGGAAGTTTCTTGTTAGTCAACATATTATCGCCGTTGATACCCTCAGTCTGTAATACATATGAGGTTGTACAAGAAGGAAGCTAGCTGAGATCAAAGTGGAAAGTTGATATAAATTATGGATATCTGACACAGTTACCCTCATAAACATTTACTGACTCGAAACAACAGCACTTGCTAACTCAGGTGTTACACTTGCACTCTCTCTCAGGTGTCGCCATTCATGCTCACTCAGGTATCACCCATCTGCTCAAGTGTCATCCTCAGGTGTCATCATCAAGTGTTACCCTCACAGATCACCCTCAAGCTCACTCAAGCATGGCCACTTGTCACCTGCCTGCAACTGGCAACTTTATTTTTCACACAGGATTGTCCTTCCTCCAGGAAGTTTCTCCTAGGTGTATTTTATTACCTGGTCTTACCAGTGCAGGCACTGGGACTTCCCTGCCTCTCCAGAGGATTCACTAACTCATCCAGATTTGGAATCAAGATTTTGTCTGTCAGGCAACTGATAGGCATTTTTTCAGTTGTAGAGATTTGCAGGTTTTTAAGTCGTTCCTACAGCCATTTCACATACTTCTAGATATCCATTCCCAAACTTCTAATAAATCTGTTTCATGTTTTATCATTGCCTTGGCTGTAATTGGTAGCAGAGGCCCACATAGCAAGAGCCTCCCCTAGATGAGCCTCAGTTGTATGCGGGTGATAGAGACTTAATCTCTACATAGTGCCTGTCCTGCTGAAGGTATCCTGTCCTGTCCTTCTTTGGTATTTGTGCAGGAAGCTCAGTGATGAAAGCCTTATACCCACACAGAGCTGGGTCCTAGTGCCGTGTACCCTTGAGCACGTCCTTTACCCTTCTGAGCCTGAAACATGTGCGTGATAGTAGATGATTGAGTTGGGTGATAGAGAAGGAAATGAGATAATGTACATAAAATGCTTACTGTGATGCTAGCTCAATTTGTCACATCTGTTATTCTTACTAATTAGTCCCTGCAGGTTTCCCCACGCCGCAGAATTCGGCAGTTGTCTCTACTTTCTATTGTAGCAGGTCCTCATTTCACTACTCACATAACATGTTTTGTCTAAAGGACGTAGATTTAGAAACTTGCCGATAGACTTGAGTTATGGAAGGAGGAATTGGAGGAGGAGGAGGAGGAGGTAGTGAAAGGAAAAGGGGCCCTGGTGATTTTTAAGGGGATTGCATTAATTTTGCTCTGCTCCTCAACTTGCATTTACCTCAAATAGATTGTCTCTCTTTTTTCCTCTTTATTCTCTTTCTTCCTTCCTTTCTTCTTTTTTTTTTTTTTTTTCCTTTTACTAGGGAGCCCATGGGATCGCATGTTGATTATAAAGCTCTATTTCCTCATGAAACCCTGATTGTTTTACATTTTGTGAAAAGAAATAGTTTAAGTTTTGAAAGTTTACACGAAGATGTTAGTTCTTTAATATCTTTTTAAAAATTAATATTTATTGAGAACTTACCATGTGCCAATCATGGTACTAAGTGCTTTACATGTATCATCTTTTTTAGTCCTCATAAGTAACCTAGGAGATTACCATTTTATAGTTAAGAAACCGAGGCCCTGAAAAATTAAATGATTTGCAAAAGTTCACCCAACCATATGTCAGCTGGCACGTGAACCCAAACAGTCTAACTTCAGATTTCACTCTCTTAACTGCTACACTTGAATTGTATCATTTACAAAAGTTTGTCTGATGACCTTCACAAACTGCCTCATTTTTACTCCTCAGAACTCCGCTGTTTCATTCTACAATTTGTGAAAGGCATGGTGATTGCAGGCTGTTACTGAAGCTGAGGAAACTGGACCAAGGACCAAAAATTCCTTCATGCCTTCCCTAAAAGGCATTTAGTCAGGAAGGTCACCTCAACACATTAGGTTTTCTGAGACGCACTCACAGGTACCTAGTGCATCATGGTGGACAAGGTACATTGAAAAGCCAAGTATAAAACTCTATAATGGAACCCCAGAAGCCAGTCTTTCTTGACTCCCCTGGGGGTGAACCACAAAGCTATCCTTTCAGCTTCCTGACAGTATCCACAGTTCCTGGCTAGGTATGACCTTGAGGCCTCTCTGAGCTCTCACTAGGTCCCAGCAGAAGTAGCATCATTACTCACATGTTACAGAGGGCACCTGGCTTCTTTCCCTAGCCTGATCACATTCTACCTATGGGACATTGGATGAGTCAGTTAACTCCTTTGTGATCCTTTATCCATCGAGCATATTGCTTACACAAATGTAGAGGTTTAAAACATCTCCCCTGTCTCTTCATGGGGTTTGTAAAAGACAAAAAAATCAAAACAGCAATGATAATCCTAAAACTCTAGGAGGAAAGGCACCAGAATCTTGTTAACTCTGGGATTACGAGAGGTATATATTTTCTTCTTTATGCTTTTCCTATATTTTCCAACTTTTCCACAGTAAGCCTGTCTTACTTTTCTAATGAAAAAGAAAAAAAGAGAGAGAAAAGTTTGATAAAAAGAACAATACAAGTCTAAGATGATCCATCATCATTGCATTACAGTCTATGTAAGCATGAAGTCAGAGTGATACATAGAGGCCAGGATGAGGAAGTGCCTTTAAACTAGGTGGTTCAGTCAGAGATATGGCCTTCAGTGACCTAGCCAGCATCCAAGCTTAGTTAGCAGTGCTCTTTTTTTGGTACTTGCCAAACCCAGTGTAAGGGATTACTGCTCTGGTTTCTGATTAGCAGCAACACACTATCCATGCAGTTAATAATCTAGATTTATAAATTAACAGATTCTTCTCTTTATAAAAGGATTCATCATAGTCCCTTTAAACTTTTAGCAAGCTATTTACAGAATTGGTGCATTTAAAATATGATTCTAAAATACGATTGTAAATATCACGTAGAGATAGTCTTTAGAAACATAACTGTTGCTTAGACCATGGAGGAACTTATTATCAGTTAGTTAAATTTTTAAAAAGCACCGGCCCCCGCTTCTTAAGATATTTTATGGCCTATCGTTGAAGTTTGACTCTCATCTTTTGGACTCTTAATTTGGAAACTGTGGCTGTGTTCAATATGATATAAATTGAAATTCTGAGAGATTGAGACAAAATGAAATAGGACTTCCTAACCCTTAATTCACTGCAAAATAAATGAATTTATCATAAGTGCCCCACAGTGCAGTAGAAACCACATGGGCTTTGGAGTCAGACACATTGGATGTGGAATTTGGTTCTGCCATACAACAGCTGTTGGTGAGTAAGTCAGCCTCTGAGTTTATTCCTCAGCTGTAAACTGGGCATAATAATCGTACTTGCTTCATATTAGGCTATTGTGAGGATTCTATCAAATAATATTTTTAAAGTTCTTCACTTTGTTGATTCTCAGTAATCAACACTCCTCCCCCTGTCCAAAATCAGAGTAGCATGTTCATATGTGGCTGTGTTTTCAGTGGCTAGAGGCCAATCCTGAGGCTTCGCTTCCTCTCCCCCATTCCCTTGTGGCCAGAGGGACCCAGGTTAGTCTTTACTTCCATTTGGAGGGACATTGGTCTCAAGGGAAATCATGGGCTCATGGCACTTACGGTAACTCATCACTTCCATGTTCCCACACATCAGGACTGGCCTGTTTTATGGCTGCATTCTGGGTGAACAGGTGGATGTGATCAGTCATTCCGTGATGCACATTTCTGTCCTTTGCTTCAGTTACTAAGATAGATGGGTATTATGGGACCTTGCTTTGGAGCCAAGTTATGCCCTGAGGATTTTAGTCAGGCTAAATCCATCAAAGATATTAAAAACAATATAGGAGATCAAGAAGTAAATTAGCTCTTGAGCTATTGAATGTTCTTCTCCAAGATTAGTATTCCACATTGTTTTCATTGCTATTGGGTACTTACTCTGTATGATTTAGAGTTAAGCAGCTTTCCACATGGAGGGAAAAAGCTGCAGTGTGTACTGACAGAGTTCTATGTCTGGTCTCTACTGCTCTCAGCCAACTGTCAGGAGCCAGAGGGCTTTGTTTACTCCTTGGTGAAGTCACCCAATTTTATTTTCAGGCGATTCTGAAGGGCAGCAAGGAGCGCAGCACCGGGGCCACTGGAGTTAATGCAGACTCCTCGCGCTCTCATGCTGTCATCCAAATTCAGATCAAAGATTCAGCCAAGAGGACGTTTGGCAGGTGAGCTGGAAATATGCAAGGAATTGCATTGTCTGCCTTCCCTAATGTGACTTTGAAATATGTGTTATCAACAACAGGACACCCTGCCACCATGGAGTTCTTTATTTCAGGGATACAGAGTCGAGTTGTTAGCCCTGAAATAAATCATTGCACTAAAGTGCCATCGGTTGATTAACTGTGAAGTAATGACCTATTGTTGGTCAACCCTAAGTTATTAAAAGGGACATTGATTGCTTCTAACATGGAACACAATATCAGCATAGGAGTAGCAGAGAATGCATCTCAGAGAGCTTACAGGCAAAAAAGAAAAATTAATCCATCCTTCTTGAAAGGAGCCATAAGACAATTGGGTACCCTCATTGCTTCTCTGGTGCTATCTTAGCAAACTCTGCCACACTGATGGATGAGCCTGTCTCACCTCTGAGTAATGAGTCTTTTTTTTTTCCTTCTCTTTCTTCCTTTTTTTTTTTGGCTGGAAAGCCGCCCACAAAAGTTTCTATTTAATTGTCTAAGTGGTCACCTAAGTGATTTGCAGTGTGGTCGTTTAGCCTTATGGGAAGAATGTTTTATTAATTTCAGTCATACTTTCTCACAAATGATTAAAACCAACGGAAGTGTCTAAGTGAACAGTGCCAGCAGCAGCTGACAGATCAGAATCTTGCAATGCTTTTGGAAAGCTGACAGTAATGTCTTGTCTTTAATGAGGATGGGCCAGTGTTAATTTCTTCCTGCCATCACAAAATGCTGACTGATGTAAAAATAAACCAAAGCCCCAAAGAAGTCATCTCTGCTGTGTCTTTTTTCTAGGATCTCTTTTATTGACTTGGCTGGCAGTGAAAGAGCGGCGGATGCCAGAGACTCAGATAGACAGACAAAGATGGAAGGTGCAGAAATAAACCAGAGTCTTCTGGCTGTAAGTTGTTTGAAAGCTTTAACCTAAAAATCCTCCTTGAGAGATTTTTGCCTCTCTTTACATGCAGCCAGAGTGGGTGAGGGTGGGGTAGAATCAGCAGAGCAAGGGCATGCTCTTATCTGGCAGTGGAATTCCAGCGTTGGAGATGGAGGCTGCTCAGTCAGATTCTCAGCAATTCGAGGCAACTCTTCCCTTCTCTCCCTGCCTTCTCTTCCTCTGGTCAGTCCCTGCCAATTAGGAACAGAGAATTATTTCTGCAGTTGCTGAATAGTTAACTTAGGTAAGCTTTCTCCCTCTCGTCAAGTTTTAAAATTGTATTCGGGGGCCGGCCCCACCGTGGCGTAGCGGTTAAGTGCACGTGCTCTGCTACTGGTGGCCCAGGTTTGGATCCCGGGCGCGCACCTACGTGCACTTCTTGTCCGGCCGTGCTGAGGCGGCGTCCCACATACAGCAACTAGAATGAGGTGCAACTATGACATACAACTATCTACTGGGGCTTTGGGGAGAAAAAGGGAAAAAAAAATAAAAATAAAATTGTATTAGGGGCCGGCCCCGTGGCGTAGCAGTTAAGTGTGCGCGCTCCACTGCTGGCAGCCAGGGTTCGGATCCCAGGCACGCACCGATGCACCGCTTGTCAGGCCGTGCTGTGGCGGCATCCCATATAAAGTGGAGGAAGATGGGCACAGATGTTAGCCCAGGGCCAGTCTTCCTCAGCAAAGAGAGGAGGATTGGCATGGATGTTAGCTCAGGGCTGAACTTCCTCATAAAAAAATAAATAAATAACATTGTATTAATTTTTCAAATATATAAAAGTAGAACAAATAGTATAATGGTCTCCCAAATACTTGTCACTCAGCTTCAACATGTGAAAATCTAAGCAACTGTTTCCTTCCCCTGGTTGGATTATTTTAAAGCAAATTCTGTCGTCATGTCATTTCTTCCACAAATATTTCGTTACATATCTCAAAGGACTCTTATTTTTTAATATAACCATAATACTATTATCATACCTAAATAAATAATTATTTAATGTTGTCTGTTATCCAGTAAGTATTATAATTTTTCCAGTTGTCCCATAAGTGTCCTTCCTTTTTTTGGTGAGGATGAGCTAACATCCATTACCAGTTGTCTTCTTTTTTGCTGAGGAAGATTGGCGCTGGGCTAACATCTGTGCCCATCTTCCTCTACTCTATATGCAGGACGCCGCCACACACGGCCTGATAAGCGGTGCATCGGTCTGGCCCGGATCCGAACCCGCGAACACTGCGCTGGCCCCCCCATAAATGTCTTTTTATAGTTGATTTGTTCAAATCAAGATGCAAACAAGATCCTTGGATTGCTTTTGGTTGATATGTCCCTTTTATTCCATATGAGTTCTTCTTCTCTCTCTTTTTTTTTTATGTCAATGTATTTGTTGACGAAAACTAGGTCACTTGTCCTGTAAGATTTCCCACATTCTGGATTAGGCTGACTGCATCCCCATGTTGATGTTTAACCTGGTACTCTATCATCTATATTTTCTATAAAGTGATTAAGATCTATATTTTTGCTGTCCAGTATGGTAGCCACTAAGCCACATGTGGCCGTTGAGCACTTGAAATGTAGCTAGTCTGAATTGCAGTATGCTCTAAGTGTAAAATACATACTAGATTTTGAAGCATGTAAAGTATCTCATTAATATTTTTCCGTATTGATATACATGCTGAAATAATACTTTTGGGTGTATTAGGTTAACTAAAATATATAATTAAGATTACATATTTTATATGTATTACTAATATATATTACATATAATATATTATTATATATAGAATATTATATATATTACATATAATATATTATTATATAGAATATTATATGTAATTATATAGTATATATAATTTCATCTTTTTATTTTATTTATTTGGTTTTTTTTTGAGGAAGACTGGCCCTCTGCTAACATCTGTTGCCAATCTTCCTCTTTTCTTTTTTCTCCCCAAAGCCCCAGTACATAGCTGTGTATCATAGTTGTAGAGTTGTAGCTCTTCTGTGTGGGATGCCGCCTCAGCATGGCTTGATGAGCAGTGAGTAGGTCTCTGCCCAAGATCCGAGCCTGCGGACCCCGGGCCACCAAAGCCGAGTGTGCGAACTTAACCATTACGCTACCGGGCTGGACCCCATCTTTTTATTTTTTAATGTGGCTATTAGAAATTTAATATTACGTATATGGTTTACATTTGTGCAAACATATTTCTCTTGAGAAATACGTATTTCTATTGAGGAAGCGTTGACCTGGAGGCTTGATCAGATTTAGGTTTATTTTTTTGGCAAGAATAATTCATAGGTAGTTCTTAGACTTCCTATAGGAACACATCGGGAGTTACAGAACGTCTGACTGTCTTTGTGATATTAAGAATTAAGAGGGCCGGCCCCGTGGCTTAGCGGTTAAGTGCGCGCGCTCCGCTGCTGGCGGCCCGGGTTCGGATCCCGGGCCCGCACCGGCGCACCGCTTCTCCGGCCACGCTGAGGCCGCGTCCCACATACAGCAACTAGAAGGATGTGCAGCTATGACATACAACTATCTACTGGGGCTTTGGGGGAAAAATAAATAAATAAATAAAATTTTTTTAAAAAAGGAAAATATTAAAAAAAAAAAAGAATTAAGAAAGATACAAATGTTGTCAGCCTAATTCCTCCATTATAAAGTTTTCCATCAGCCTTTTTCACCTAATGGTTTTAGCAGCCATTGATGAGCATCACCTATATCCATTGTTTCATTAGGGATTCCAAAATGGTGATATTCTAATTCTAATATTCCTTCTGTATTTATTGCTGGAAAGAACTTTCCCAAACTATCTGATTATCCTGAAATGTAGTGGAGGCAAGATAAATGCTTGATTTTTTGCCTTTACTCACCAGTTTTCAGAATGAATTGGTGTCCTGGTAACCTAAATATGACTAATGATTGTGTTGTTATTGTTTACTTTTTTTTGTTTTTGTATTATTATAACACTTTGTAATCATTATTCTTTTTGCTGCTTAAATTGTATGTCCTTGGCCAGTGGGAGCCTTTTCAAGTATGTTCCTGTGTCTTTTTGCCCCAACTCCACTAGTCTCTGATAGCCTCCTGGCTTTCTGGTATGACAAGATGTTCTAGGCTTATCTTATATGTTTCCTTCCCTAGACCTTGAATCAGCCATTTTTTCAACAAGCCTTGGTTTTAAAGAAAACGGTATTTAGAGACCATTTAAGGGTGCTAGGGGTGCTTACTACACACTGGGTTAATCCTTGCTTCTAGGCTTTTCTAATGGACAGAGGTAGGAAATAGATTTTTTTGAAGGAGAAAAATATATCAGGGATTCATTCTAATAAATTAATTCAAAATTAAGATCCCAGGGGCCGGCGCAGTGGCACAATTGGTTAAGTACACGCACTCCGCTTCAGCAGCCAGGGGTTCGTGGGTTCGGATTCCAGGCGTGCACCAACGCAGTGCTTGTCACGCCATGCTGTGGCGGCATCCCATGTAAAGTGGAGGAAGATGGGCACAGATGTTAGCTCAGGACCAATCTTCCTCGGCAAAAAAAAAAAAAAGGATCAGCATCGTGTGTTAGCTCAGGGCTGATCTTCCTCACAAGAAAAAAAAAAAGGAAAAAAAATTAAGATTCCATGGTTTTTGCTTCACTTTTTTTGTGTGAAGAAGATTAGCCCTGAGCTAGCATCCGATGCCAATCCTCCTCTTTTTTGCTGAGGAAGACTGGCCCTGGGCTAACATCTGTGCCCATCTTCCTCCACTTTATATGTGGGACGCCGCCACAGCATGGCCTGACAAGTGGTGCATCGGTGCACAGAGTGTGCGCACTTAACCATTATGCCACCAGGCTGGCCTGTTTTTTTTTTTTTTTTGTGAGGAAGATCATCCCTGAGCTAACATCCAATACCAATCCTCCTACTTCTTGCTGAGGAAGATTGGCCCTGGGCTAACATCCATGCCCATCTTCCTCCCCTTTATATGGGACGCCGCCACAGCATGGCTTGACAAGCGCCGCATCGCTACACACCCGGGATCCGAACCTGCGAACCCCAGGCCGCTGAAGTGGAGCGCGCGCACTTAACCACTGGGCCAGCCCCTGCTTAACTTTTTTGGATTTATATTTCTCCCCCTTTTCTCTTATGCTAGAATTCTTTTTTTGTTTCATTTATTTATTTATTTATTTGTAGTAACATTGGTTTATAACATTGTATAAATTTCAGGTGTACATCATTTTACTTCTATTTCTGCATAGATTACATCATGTTCACCACCCAAATATATGCTAGAATTCTTAGTTCCTAAAAACATTAATATAATTTATCTGCTCTACCTCCCTATAATATATGTATTTCAAAATAGTGCTACTGTTACTCATAATGTGGTTGCTGAATTCAGATTAAGATTTCTTTGCAGTTTCCTTTTTACCCTTAGGTCATATCCGACTAGGGATGTATAGTCATAATATTGTGTGACAAAGTCACTTGAAATAATTCTTCTCTGTGTGTTTAAGCTTACCAATTTCATATTCAATTGAAGTAAAAATTATAAAACAAGCCACATTCAGATTCTGTCCCCTCAACCCTATTACCTCTCTCCCCTTAGGTAACCGTTTTTCTACCTGTCTCTGTGTTTATATTCACTCCTTTTCTCAGAAAAAAGGCAGCATACTGTAAACAGTGTTGTGCACTTTGCTTTTCCACCAGACAGTGTCCTGGAGCCCGCTCCACGGCTGTGCTCAGAGATCTCCCTCGATCCTGCCTACAGCTGCATGGTGCTGCCTTGTGCCCATCCACATTATTTAAGTCCTTTGATCAGAACTGAAGTCACCAGCTAGGCACATTATTTCCAGGCCTCGTGAGGGATAAACTGGGAGGCTGATAGAGAAATCAGCATCTTTTTATCTTTATTTTTTTTCAAATTTTTGGATAATTTTAGATTTACAAAAAACGTTGCTAAAATGAATACACAGCATTTCTTCACCTAGCTTCCCTAATGTTAACATAACCATAGTAAAATGATCTAAATCATCAGGAAATTAACATCACCATAATACTATTAACTAATCTACAGACCTTTGTTTTTTGATTTTTTTTTTTTTAATCGTGGTAACATTGGTTTATAACATTGTATAAATTTCAGGTATACATCATTATACTTCTGTTTCTGCATAGATTACATCATGTTCACTGCCCAAAGACTAATGACAGTCTATCACCACACACATGTGCCTAATCATCCCTTTCACCCTCCTCCCTCCCCAGTTCCCCTCTGGTAACCACCAATCCAATCTCTGTCTCTATGTGTTTGTTTGTTGTTGTTTTTATCTTCTGAGTGAGATCATATGGTATTTGACCTTCTCCCTCTGACTTAT